GCAGGACCCCAACAGCCCATCTGACTGATTCACATTTAAACAAAAACAGAAATATGGCTGCTCCAGGGAGCTTCGCTGAGGAATGGAAAGTAACCCCAAATTTCACAGCAGCAAATCAAATGTCTTTTTATTTAACTCTTCCTTTCTGTTTTCCCTTTCTCTATGGCTCCCTGTAGCATTGTGCACACATAACTGTGTCTACTGATTGGGCTTATTTGAAGCATGTACCCTGACAAAAAATGGAGAAGAGGAGATTTTCCTGTGTCACGACGGGATTGAATGTAGTTCCGTAGAAGAGGAGGGCCTGTGAGGATTATATGGCTCAGTGGGCTCTATATTGTGTAGGAAGTGGATAGAGCAGGTACCCACCGAACGCCAGCCGGGAGATGCACAGTGTTGCTAGGGATAATGTTGCCTCCCGGCAATTAAACTCTGGAGGTTTTGGAGTGGTTTACGGTGAAGCTTGTTAAATTATCCAGTCACTTCTTTTCCCTTTTCTCTGTTTGCCACGCTGCCTTTCTGTTAACCGCATGTTTTACAGTTTGACTGCATAAAAACCTGAGAACTATAGGGGGAGTCATTTGCCTTGACTACTTATATGTGTTCTTTACATCTTTTTCAGTCACCTATTAAATGCACACAGACTGAAACATATACAATATATAAAAGAAGAAAACAGCATGTACACCCTCCCTGTTTTTAAGGGAAGTCTTATGCGCTGATAATGCCAAGCGCTGCCAGTTGATGGCAGCTTTGAATTAGGAGATAGAACATTATATATAAGTTTACTCTGAAAAAGTCATAATTAGTTCAATTTTATACCTTTAACTTGGGATTCAGAAGATTTTCTCACTATGTAAAAGTACTTGTGACAAATACTGTAATATACTGTATGATTCATTTGCTTTGTTAGGAAAATGTTAACATTTGATGAGCATTCAGAAGCTGATAGCACAGATTTCCTAAGGATCCTCATTATCTTGTCAAGAAGCATGACTTAGTAAAAGATGCTTCCTCTTTGCTTCATTAAACATTTTCTTACGTTGCTTTTTTTTGTCAGTGTTTAAATTTGCCTTTGTGAATTAAAAGGTTCTATTTGTTTTTGAGCTGCTGTAGGTTTTTAATTTTTTTATTTCACTGAAAAGGAAGTGAGCATTTTGTTTCTTGAGGGTTTGGACAGTGTGGTTACTTTATCAGTTTATCACTTAAAACCACACCAGTGGTGGAAAGTAGATGAGAGGTGCATTTCTTTGACAGCTGTGCTGTGGTTACAGTTTGTGGCTGCATGTTAAGATTGTAAACACATACTGTATGATGATGATGATATAAATCACACTGCCTTGTAACTGAGAAAATTAAATAGCTCAGCTGCATAAAAATTGTGAACGTGAGCTCAACTTTAACTGAGCACAATAGTAAAATGCTACAAATGTTAACTGATTGTTAACACAATCCTCCAATAAAATACAGTAACACTGATAGGGTTGGTCTTTCTGCATACAGATTTAATTTACTTTGACTCTTTAAGCACATTCTGATCAAAGTACCTCTATGCTTGAGCATTTCTGAGTATATTTACATGCGGTACTGCTAACTTCATTTAAGTGAAGGCTCCACATTCTTCTGTCTCTGGGTCACACAACACAAGAAGTGCTCTGGACTGAACCTTGAAGACATGCCATTAATTATGTATTCAGGTATAATCTATAAAACAAAAAATGTACACTGCTTCCCTGAAATTCATGCTGGATTCAGTCTATTTTCATTTCGCCTTTGAGTTCAACCTCCATAAAACTCGTCTGCCTTGGTCTTGGCTTTGGCTTTATAGAGGAGGTGGTGCTCACTAACATTGACCACCGTCCTTGTCCTCACACCAACAAACAGCCCATTTCAAAAGTGAAAGTCCATGGTATTCCTCTTGAAAAAACATCCTCTAATTTATTTCCAAATGTGATGCTGTGCTTCCTAATACCCTTGGGACTTGTGTGTCTGTAGTTCCAGGTCAGCTGCCAAAAGTACAGCAGTGCTGTGTTAACCTCTTTTCTATACCCGCATACACACACACACACACCCCAAGGTAACTGTGGGTAGTAGAGCCCCCAAAGCTTCATCGTCCAGGACAAATTGGTAGCAAGCGGCTCATTTACTCGGAGCCGTCATGAATGGACTGTGCCGTGACTGTGTAAACAAGTGCAAAGACTCCCAAGGGCATCCCTGCATAAATAATGACTCCAAGAGATGTTTGCCATTTGTTGCAGATATGGGTCAGCTAGTCTCCTCTGTGGGGAGTCTTCAGTAAACAACAGCCGCGGTGTCCGTTAATGACTGTGTGGAAAGTTTACCTGGTCTCAGGTGCAAGGGTTGCTCTCCCAGGCTGTGGGCTATCGGAAATTTATTTGGCGTTTCCCCCCACTTGTTTGAAAGTTTTTGGTTAAAGGCTTTGTGCTTTGGTCTGAACAATAGTAGAAGTTAAATATGAAAGTAAGCCAGGACTCCAAACCAAAAGCCCATGGACTCAAAACTAGTTCTTTCATGTTCATCCTGTTAGGGTGAGGATTTTCACAGAAGACTCAACACACACTGCATACCCTGCCATTTGAGCTAAACATCATGTGCATTCTAATAACATATAACTCAGAAGTTTAGTACAGCACCATTTATTTTTTTGGTTTGAAAAGTATCATGCACTTGAGGAGATTATTGGGGAGTTGTGTCTAGTTATTGGCACCTCTGTGTTTCAGTGGTATTCTCACCTCACCAGATGAGCTGCACTGACAGATTCAACACTGAGTTGGATTAAATTGCCCCAAACATTCTCCGTGTGAGGCAGATGTTAGAGGAGGGAGTAATGTGGCTGTAAGCACTGCTCTCGGTTATACTCCTATTATGATTAAGCTGTTTAAATTCACCCTTAGTGTGTGACTGAAAATCACAGTTACTCATTTAGGAAAAATTGTAAAAGCAGACCAAAAGGTAATGCCCCCCCCCCATCATAAAAAGTTGTTACTGTGGTAGCCAGACATCGTTCTGGGGGTTCTCATAATTAAATTAGGAGTATACAGTATACTACAATAGTTATTGTGAAGACACGTTTATAGAAAACAAGTTGCTTGACAAATCTGTGCCTGCTTTCTGTGCATGGAGATCATCACATCATGCACATGTTGAGTCAAGATGACTCGCTGTCAGTAGCTTTGGTCCCTTGTGGCTGTAATACTTACTGCACAACATTAAACTGAGTTACTGGATGGATTCAGATTCAGCCATCTTTATTAACAATGAAACAAAAATTTAAAAGAGGAAATAACATACTGTTACCTAAATCAACAGGGTTTATTCTATGTATGTTTCTCAAACTCAGACTCAGCTTTTAACAGGCTGTACTCTGAAATGAATGTTATGTTGTGTCTACACCAAAAACGTACCACGTGCACTGCGCAGCATCTTGCATGAACCTTGTGCGAGACTTGCATTTCTATACTGGGCATGTGCTCACTCATGCATCGTAAGCTCTTTGGGGGATACTTACAGAGGTTTTGTGGCTCATGTTTTGGCACTAAACAGTGAAATTACACGTCTTCATATTGACTAAGGAGTCACACTGGGGGTTTGGACCAGAGAAAAAGAAGAAAAGCTGCATTTTGCCCATTTGGTCTCATGCAATATGTATTTTAAGGCGTTCCCATTCAGGGACACAAAATCAGGAAGGGGAGAATGGAAATTTATACAAATACTCTCAGTGCCTGATTTATCATTGCTGCAACAGAGGGAACTGCTGTCAGCATGGCAGCTGCTAGTCATCTGGTACTTCGGCAAAGTTAAGAACATGTTTGAGGAAAGAGAGGATGTTTGTAAATCA